ATAACCAAGAAAGAAAAGTGCTCACTTACATCTTAGGTTTACCAAACTTAAAAAAAATGAGATTTCCAGATACTCAAACAGCAGGAACATTTCTCAAAGCTGCACAAGAATTTTAAGGATTCATTATTCCACTTTCATTAGTCTCAAAAGATATCCATATAACATTTTCTGACATAATTACCCAATAAAACTTCACATTGCAAAAGTTTTACCATAAACGATGTCAGAAATCACATTTCGAGTTTGCAAGCACTAAAATTAAAATAGCAAACCCAAGACTCCCTGAAATCAATTAGAAAACATAAAAAAAGTATTTTCAGCCAGAGGTATTTTTGCCTAAACTGAATAAATTCAGATTTCCCTCAAGTTCTTTGTTAGATTTTGAAGTGGAGAGAACTGAAGTCTTATTCACAGCAGAGCTAAAATTAGTAATCATTTATTAAATACTTATGTGCAAAATACCACAGTCAGGGTTTTGACTGGGAAGGCTTATAGAGGAAAGTAAATATCTGAGATTTGTTGGTTTGGGGTTACAATAAGAACTTTAGGTGAAAATGAGTCACACGCAGTTATAATGGCACTAAGGAAATAATTTAGGTCTAAAAATCAGGAATGAATCAATCAAGAGTTAGCAGAGGAAGCCAAGAGAAGAGCCTAGCTCTCTTAACAGACTAGTCCAGAGAGTGGAGGATGAAGCTGAGCTAGCTTGGGGCTAGTCAACAGAATCACTAAAAGAAAAGGAGCTCAGCGCAGGGTCATAGAAGTGAAGGTTAATTTGGGGGCCGGTGGTCAATGGGCTAAACAGGGAACTGAGACTGAAGTTGTTTCCAGCAACTGGGAAGCCATAAGCTCTTAAGACAGCAGGTCTTCCTGGGCAGAAGCTAATTAGAAGGAAATTGAAAAGAAAGTCTGGCAAGGAAAAGGAAGCCAATAGCATAGTAGATATTTTGACAAAGGGAAAAACAACAAAAAAACAGGAATTGCAGCTAGAGGCAGGAGAGTCATGCGCAAGATTTAATAAGACAAGAGGGGTTTTGTATAGATAAGCACAAAAGGAAAGAAGTCAGAGATGGAGAGGACATGGGAAAGGAGGTTTACAACTGGAGATTAAGTCTTCAACAATCTGGAAGGGACAGGAGCTGGGTGGTGGCAGTGAAGAAGTTCAACCATAAGGACTCAGTCTGAGCACCTTGTGTTGCACCTTTGTTGCAGTCGATTCAACAAAGATCTCACCATACAGAGATAACCATGAACATCCACCAACAGTGTTATCTCTTGAAATCAGACCCCTGAGGCCACCAATCAGTATGACAGTGTGACCAACAGGTCAGATTCTTACAGGTGGTTCCTGAAATGTGAATAATTCTAGCTAGGAGGCTGCAGTATAAACGAGATATGTGCTATTCAGGTGGACCTCACCTAAGGAGAAGTAAAGACGAACATTCTCATACCACCACTAGAGTGACCCTTTGGCCAGACTCCACTTCAAGAGCAGACAGCAGCCTGCTCTGGATCTGACTTCCACCTGGGAGACAGCGGCATGGGCTCATAAGGCCAGATGTAAGACACATCATCAATATGTTTCAGACAGGAAAGGGTCGATGATTATGAATTGGATGAGATGTTAAAAGCAAGACTTTCAAATGCACATACTTAAACTGCTCAGAAGAGTTCAAGGGGATGAAATCCTATTCTCATTATGTACTGGAGACCAATTGCTTTAAATCTCTACCACGGCGGATGGCAATGAGTCCTTTTACGAAAGTTATTGTCCAGACAGAGTATCTACAAATGTAGCTTGATTCTGGACTGTGACAGCATTATAAAAAAAAAAAAAAAAAAAAAAAAAGAGCACATCAGAGAATATAAAATACCAAGCAAATCCTAAGTGTGGCAACGAGAACACAGGTAAGTGTATCTCGTGCATTACTGTGAACGTGCTCCCTGTCAAAGGATCCATACACCTATTCCAACCAAGCTGGAAAGAGCAACAGACCAATGTGACTGGATGGACGCCTGGGCTCCTGTAGCCTGTTCGTCATAGGTCACAGGGTCCTCCAGGGTTGCTGTGATGTTGAAATGGAGGATGTATGTGAAAGAGGAGATGTTGACAGACTCAATCTGAACACTATTTTTGACTAAAGTACTTCTGATACTCCTTTCTAAAGTGCCTTTAGACCTTAAGCACCTATTTTGACAAATGTAAGACAGATGACCAGAACAGTATGATTTCTGAAAAAACACTGAGAAATAAGACATCTTTTCTTTGGGTGGTTCATATGCTGAAATTCTGAGAAATGAGTTTCAAAAATGATCTGAACACCAACAACTTCACTGGAAAATATGTAGCCTCTTCAAGTGTTCTACAAAACAACCACTGGACACGTAGGTGCTAAAGGATTTATTACAAAAACTCCCCTTGCCAGCCTTATTACTCTGGTTCATTACTAAATCCATAGCACTAGCCAGATTACATGGCCATCTTAAAACTTTTATTCTTTAGTTAGAAAAGAAAACTATTTTTAGCTCACATACTCAGAACTTAACTATTACTCCACATCAAAGTCCAAAAAGTACCACATACTCTTTCCCACGCCATGCTTCATGGGGTGCTGTGAGAGCAATGCTTACATAGCTTACTGAGTGCCAGGCAGTGTTCTAAACACTTTCCGTATTTTAACTCCTAAGAAACCTAGGAAGCAGGCACACCAAAACCTGAAGTACAGTGAGATTATGTAACTTGTCTCCACCTAAGAAGAGAGGATATGAGTTCTTTTCTGCTAAGTAAACAACTAACTTTAAAGGAAGAACCGTTTAATAACATTGCATTAAGTAAGGGTTTAGGGCTGACACTTCAAGTACCTGTCAATTTACAAAAGAACACACTGAGACTCCAGGGATGAGCTGCGTTTGGTTAGTGGCCAAGGCAGACTAACAAATGTCTCCTAATTCCCAGGCTAGTGTACTGTATTACCTCTCTTTGTTCAGCCTCCCAGAATTGCCAATGACAGTGGCTTACCACCAGGAATATTTATGAATCCCACTAATCACATGGAAGAATGGCAAATGAAAACTGACCCACATTTTCTTCTTCTCCCTTCAAACGGTAATAGGTTCCGACATAATTGCAAACTAGAAGCTAGGGATAAAAAACAAGATTCAGAGCTCCTAATAGAGAGGGAGACAGACATGTCAGCAAGGTGACAGACTGCCACAGGTACTGACAGAAGTCTACATAAGGGACAGCTGGACAACAAACAAGGCAGTCAAATCATCTTTATGATTTAGAGACTTTCAAAGGTTATCCCTCACGTGCTTTCTAGGTACACTGGATTCTCTTTTTAATGCCCCGCTGTGCCTACTAAGGGAAATCCGTAATAGAACAGAAAGAAGACTAGAAGCCTAAACCTGTAATCCCAGTTCTAGAACTATCTGATTGTATAACCCAAGAGCAAACACTTTACTGTCATCTGTAACATGAAAATGGATCTTTCAACACTTTTCAGCTTAAAAATCCAATCAAGCTATTAAATCTAACTTGCAGAAAATGTTTTTAAAGACCATGATTCTGTTAATCAGGAAGATAAAAACACATAATAGAAATTAAATATTGTGGATAACTGAATTATCATAAACAATAAAAACATCAAATTTCAAATAATTATATATATATATATACCACAAATATTAGACAAATCTATTTATAATAGCTCAAAAGACTCTGGGGCTTTATATACTATTATATATATTATATAGCAAGTGTATATTCAGTACTGAGGTTATCTGAACTTTACATATTCAATATGTAAACTTGTAGATTTTGTTTTTTCCATCTACAAAATTAGAACGATATCACCTTCCTTGAGTTGGTGTGAAGGTTTATGAGATGATAAATGGAAAGGCCCAAGGGAACAGAGCACATGACTGATGTTTAGTAAATGAGTTCCCTTTCCACTTCCTTAAAAAAGCAGCTAAATGGTACCTAAACCTAAGAGCCATATCCCTAAACAACTCCAAAATTTTAAAAAAGAAAAACCCCAGAACTTCAAATGATATAATTAACATAGAAGGCCACGTTTTTGTATAAATGAAAAAGGATAAAATCATAAGAGTTCTAAAGAAATTATTTAGATGATTCTAAGTCAGTTCTTAAGTGTTGTTCTTCCTTCCTAAATATCCTCTAAGGATGATCTTACAGATATACAGATCAGCTTAACAATGAAACCTAACATTTCGCTTATTTTAATAACAAGGATCTTGTATATGTTAGGATGCTCTTCACTAAGCTGGGGGTAGTAGTTCAAAGTAGCACTTTAACAAAATCAGAACAAATTCATTCATTTTAGTTCTACAGCTGTAAATGATGCCGTCCAAAACTGTGGAAGTACTTAAGTGTATCTGAAAATGTTTTTACATTTAAGCTAACATCTAGTTTTAGAACTAAAACGGTGTGGTCTATCAAAAACCTTGTTGTATTGCTGAGTTAAAAAATTATTTCATTATTCAAATGCACTAACCAAGAAAATTTCCTTCATACCAAGGGCATGGATATCATTGTACTGCAAAGATGCATGCTATATATGAGCCTTGCCTATTATTACATTTATCTACTGTACCTCCAAAATAATGCATCATTAAGTAAAGGTTTCAATGTTACATTACCACTATTTACTCCTCCCCAAAAGTCAGAATACTGTTCTTGGCTGATAAGCTACAAAGATGCTTTTAAGGCAGTAGTTCTTTAATATATTTTAAGATTTAAATTTGCCTTTTCATCCTATCAAAGTCACATTTTCTAAAGCTGCTTAAAATTAAAAATCTCATTAACATCAAGTCAATGGTTCTTTCCTTGATTTCTACTTTTACTCCTTCCCTAAGGCTTCTAACTCGGAGGTCCCACTTCCCTTTTCTTCTCCCTGGACAATGCTTTAGAGGGCAGGATTAGCCCTAAAAGTCACTGTGTAAGACCATGAAATAAATGATGAAGCTATACAACCAAAGCGAGATCCATGCTTTATGAACACATTATTCTCACACACTGAGGTGACAGGTTTAATACACAAGATCCTTAAGTTCATTTTACATATTCTGAAACCAAGTTGTTCAAAAGATGAATTCTGAAACCATGGTTGGTGTAGCAAATGAATATATCAAAACAAAGAAAAACTTCATCCAAATATTTACATTTAAAAAAGACATTTAAAAAATAGGCTACTTATTAAGTGTGCTTGAACAAACCATGTGTGGAATTGAATTCCATTCATTATGGAGTTAGTTTCTGCTAAATACTTACTGATGCTATAGTAGACCCCTGGCATCTGAGCACTTAAGAGTTTTCAACTGTTCCCAATCTATACTAAAAAAATAAAACATGACAAATAATAAATTCTACATTTCTGAAGGCACTAATTTGAACCTCAGAAGTAGAAGGGCTGGTATGTAAGGCAAATTACTTAGGAGTGAGGAGGGCTGGCAGCTGTATAGCTTGCTGCGGTTTTGCAATGTATTACCACGTATTTAGTAAGACTCTCTAGAGGCCATTTAAATATTATACTAATACTGCATTATATTCCAGCAGTTTCACAAACTTAGATATTCACAAAAATGTTTTGGAATATATACCTTGAGAATGTGAAGGGTCTCCTATGTTACATTAAAAAAAAAAAAACATGCAGAGTTACTTAGAGCTCATAGAGCTTTTTCAAAACAAACTACTAATCACACAGCCCAATTAAAAACTCAAACACTTTATAGTACAGGTATAGAAAGTTTATGGTCCAGCAATGCCAATATAGGTAATTTGACAACTTAGGGTTGTGAACCTAAGTTGCAAAGTGTTAACAATCATACAATAACTTCTATTCTATTGTCATTGGCTTTGGCTCAGATGTTTAAACACTTAAACAGCTCAGAAGACTTTTGTTTACTTTTTTGTGTATTTTGTTTTGTTTTTATCTGTGTGGGCACGGGTGTGGGGGTCATTGTATTGGATGAGAATGAAAAGAGGGCAGGAATTAAAGAGCCACTAAAATTCCATTTACCATTTCCTTACAAAATATATGTGGGAGAATATGGCTTAAAGATAGAATGGGAAAGCTTCTTATTTGTTCCATTTTACTTTACCCTTTATCTAGTCTGACAATAATGCCAAACTTAATTTACTGCCTAGGGCAAAAGTAACTCTCTAAGAGGATTTTATGAAGTCCAGTTTAATTTTGGTTCTAAGGTCTTAAGCACTTAAGCACAATTTTTTGGAATTTTTCGGATTAACTGAAAAAAATGTTATGTCAACAACCACTTAAGCACAATTTTTTGGAATTTTTCGGATTAACTGAAAAAAATGTTATGTCAACAACCAGAACTCCCCAATGTTTTGATTGGTTAACAGCTTTAAAAATATCCAACTCATTTTTTTTTTAAGACTAGGATTAATCTCTGTCCCTACAATTTAATTTTCTGCTTAATCTGTAGACCAAGGCAACTTTTCTTAAGAAGGGATACATCTATTAAGGAGAAAAAAATTATTTCTTTAAAAAAAACTGAGTAGGTCTAAAATGATTCCAGAGCTATCTCTGAGTCAGAAGTACAGTAACAATGGACAACACAACCCAGTTTACACAAATGTACTGTTTTCTTTTTGTTAAAAAAGGGTAGGGTTAGGTTTTATATATCAAAGTCAGCAGAATTTTCATGTTTCACAATTTTGGTACTAGAGAGATCCCAAAATTCCTTGAATTCACTTGGGAAATTTTCTGAAGGTGCGCATTACAGTAAACAGCAGCAAAATACCAAAACAATTCTATTGCTAAAAAGCAGCTAATCCTGCTTGTGCCTTTAGAATACTAGTTGTTAGGCACCACCAACAATGCTAATTTGTGCCATCAATTGAAATTTGAGCTCTTCCAAGAAAGAAACAAATTGTTCCCTTTAAAACTATTCAAGGCAGGACATCAACAATCATATTGGACAAATATTCATTGAGTTTTGGAGGAGAAAATCAGAAAATGTCAAAAAGGAAGAGACAAAACCGTAATATTTAGTATTCTAAAGGCTCGTTTCAGGTAGTTCAACAATGATTCTGGTAAAACCAACTGCTCACATACATACACACGCACACACAGATTTTAATGGTTTTAAAAAAACCAGATTTGTTACTTTAGAAAATGAATGCAGTGCATTTTCAGCAATATTATCGCCACAGACTCTGATTTCTCAGTCCACACATAAGTAGTAGTTGCCTTCTATGGTGATATGGCTTCTCTGCACTAATTCCCATCAGGCCGAAAAACATTAGGGCAGGTTAAGCAAAGACTGAATTGTTGCACAAAGGAACATTTACTCATCAGATCCCACTGATCTCTTCTGTGCCCGTTTCCTGGGCAACCTTCTTGGTGAAGCTTTATCTGGAAGAAAAGAGAAAGTTTTGAGCTTGCCTAATTATTACAAGTATATTGGATTTAAAAGACATTTAAAAGTATTTTCCTTCAACTTTACCACTAAATTTAAATCATACAAACATGCAAGAATACCATCTATTAATAATAATAAATGTCTCCTATCTAGCTACAGGTTTTTAAAAGAACATTTAATATAACCTTTCAAGAGGTAACTCCAATTAAAATGACATTTTTTTGCAATTAGGATAGGAAAAAGATCTAATGATGGATGCTATACTGTTGAAGATACCATGCAAAATCATCTTGAATTCTGTATCTCAACATGTTTATAACATGTACAAGTAAACACTTTTAGAAACAGTTTAAAAGGCATGATATTTAAAGCTCAAAAAAAATTTACACTGCTTACAAATTAAAAGATTTAGTATTTAAAAATGTAGTCATGTGATTTGCTTAATTTTTCAGGATTTCATAAATTTACCTGAAATAAGCAGAATAAAGGACATGAGATAGTATTTCAATGCTAAAACTATTCTATGCACATAAGCATTATCTTTTTACTTCTTTCCCTTTATCTCCTTTATATATTCTTAGTGGGGTCTATTTAACCACTTCGGTACAGTGCTCACCGGCCGTGAAACCTTGCCCACAGCTGGCACTCATAGTCCACTCGACAGTTTGTGCTGTGCATTGACAATGAATCCATTTTGCTCTTGAGGAAAGCTTTAAAGCAGGGGTCCTCAAACTTTTTAAACAAGGGGTCAGTTCACTGTCCTACAGACCATTGGAGAGCCACTGGAGAGTGCAGCACACATTCCACACACAGGCGCACTATAGGCCTGGGACGAGTCGGCTGCTAAGCAGGACAGGCAGCAGTGGCAAAAACACCCAGCAGGTGGGATAAATGTCCTCAGCGGGCAGCATGTGGCCCACGGGCCATAGTTTCAGAATGCCTGCTTTAAAGCACTGAAAGCTTGTTTTCTTTACAGGTAGCTTTACTTGTAATATAAATCAGAATAGGTAACATATACATATATGTTTTTATTACGTTATTTTTAAATGTTCACAATTTTATTTTTTTTTAATCTTAGACATAACATTTACTAGTTTTCCAAGCATGACAGAAATGGAAAAATATATATATTTGAACAAGAACAATTTAAGTGTTCACAATCTGTGTTCCTTCTGTGAGCAGCGCCTGATTCTATTAAAATTAAAAAACTGGAGCTCAGTCCTATGCTTAAAAAAAATCTAATGAAGGACTAAGTAATAAAGTATGCAAGAATATAATTCTATAATAAATCTTTCCAGTGTTCACTATAACTACATTATACATAAATGTTTCCCTCCACAGTAACTCAGAAGGATAGTTCTTATAAATGAAAGAGAACATTCCATATTCATCTCTGGCAAGCAATGAACACACACAACTTGCTCACAAAGGATCTGAAAGTGCTGCCCCAGGAGCATAAACTACCACTAACATGCTATATGAATGAGTCTTGGTGAGTGGCTATTATCTGGGATCTCTTTCTCTCCTCACACCAGTGAACCTATCTCATATAAAGCCTAAGAGATAACTAAAGCTGTTGCAGAAGTAAAACACAGCATGCTCCACTCAAATTCTTCTAAGGTAACCATTTTAAAGGAAAACCAGCAGAAGTTATCTCTTTTATAAAAACAAATACATTAAAAAAAAAAACCAAACCAAAAGGCAAATGCTGCTGCTCAATCATTAGATGGACTTACAGAGGCAAAATATGTGACAACAGCAATAATTCAAGTAAAATATGTGTGAAAATTTAAACACGCCACATTCAAGTTAAGACAAAAGTGAAGGGGAGCTATGATCTTTATATCAGAGTCAAAAAGCTTAGGCATTATCACCAAATGTTAATTCACTTTACAGTCATCAATGAAACTACTGTATATATTTTTGCACTTTGCACTTGTAAAAGCAGATAAAATATTTAATATGTAATTTACAATCTATTTTACCAGCTCAGCATACAGGATGTATATAGATTATATCAAAGTAGTAGACAGTTAGGGGCCTGTGCAAACCCTGCAAAAATAGTACTTCAGGTATCTGCTAATTAAAAAAAAAAAAAAAAAAAAAAACAGTTTGCTGTTTAGAAGTGATACAATTCAAACTACCACAAAATACAAAGGGCTGCAAAAATGTATACCATTCCCACAACATATGTAAGTTATTAAATAAAGATTTGATTTAAAAGAATATAAATGAAGCCTTTAAGTAGGTCTTTTCTACATGCATATTATTCCTCATTAAAGAAAAAAATATGTAAAAAGGCCATTGGTAATTGCTTTGTTAACATTTGTAGAAAATGCCAATTCTCTGGTCACAAACTCCACTAAGTTTAGCACTTAAGGTCTCTGCAGTGTTATAAATGTAATTTAAAATACTGCTAATTCTATAACTCCGTTGGTAAAATAATGTGACTTGGAATATGGCAGTCTTCATGTTGAGGGCAATGATCCAGTTTTGTTTTAATTTCTTAGGTGTGAACAGTTATCCAGAAGAACAGCACCCTCCACCTCCACTCTGCATCTGAGGTTCATCATCAATAATCTGTACACCTCGCCTTGCAGTTTCTGGTTGACTAGAGCCATTGCCTTTTGCTCTCTCGTCCACTTGTGCTGTGTTTCTATCATCCTTTTACAAAGGTCAAGAAAGAGTTCCTCAATTCCTTTGTTCTGTTTGGCTGAAGTATGATAATGTTTTGCTCCCATAGATTCTGCATATGATTCTGCCTCTTGAATGGAAACATATCTCTCCTTTTCCAAGTCTATTTTATTACCAACTATACATAAACAGATTTCATTTCCCAACATTTTCTGTAATTCTTTGACCCAGTTTTTTACCTTCTGAAAAGAATCTTCATCTGTTATGTCATAAACTAAAATAGTTCCATTTGAATCTCTGTAGTAAATTGGGCCAAAGGCATGGAATCTCTCTTGACTTGCTGTATCCCATATGGCAAGGTTTACTCTTTTCCCGCCAATATTTAACTTCTTTGTTAAGAATGATGCCTGCATAGTGGTGATGTGCTTGTCCTTAAACTTGTTCCCGCAGTAGCGCAGCACCAGCAACATCTTCCCCACACAGCCTTCCCCCAGCAATACCACCTTGAACGAGTAGGCTCAGCCTCAGCCCGCCAGCCGGCCTGTCGCTTCCCCACAGCCGGGACGGGCTCAGCCCCCTCCCCCTTCGGCACCGGCCATGCCAACCAGGGCACCTTCTCCACTCCTTCCTCTGGGCGAGCCCTGGAAGGGCCGAGGGAATGTCCAAGAATGAAGGGCCCAAGACACCACGTCAGGCACGGGAGGAAAGACCCACAATTTTATTTTGATAAATGAAAAATTAGAAAAGTCATATCACGGCTGTCGGCTAAAGTCGCTCATTCGTGGCTATCGACTATAGTCAATGCTCGGCTGTGCACATTCATCTGTGGGTGTCGACTATAGTCAATGCTTGTACCAAAGAGGTTAACAGAGAATACATTTGTGGTGAGTTTTTCTACTTTTCTTCAGTAAGATGAACCATCCACAGCTTCTTTAAAAAGTAAATGGCTGGGCAGGGCAAGGGGTGGCTCATGCCTGTAATCCCAGCACTCTGGGAGGCTGGGGCAGGAGGTCTGCTTGAGGCCAGGAGTTTGAGGTTGCCATGAGCTAGGCTGACGCCATAGTACTCTAGCCTGGGCAACGGAGCAAGACTTTGTCTCAAAAAAAAAAAAAAAAAAAAAAAAGTGAAAAGCTGGACATATCTTCTGACTATTATTGTCTGTTTTTTATTTTCTAAAAATAATTTACATATCAGGAAGATAAGCTCATTGTGGAATAAGTTAGAAATAAAAATAATTTTTCCCAGTGGGGCGCAGTGGCTCACACCTGTAATCCTAGCACTCTGGGAGGCCGAGGCAGGCGGATTGCTCAAGATCAGGAGTTCGAAACCAGCCTGAGCGAAAGCCAGACCCCGTTTCTACTATAAATAGAAAGAAATTAATTGGCCAACTAATATATACAGAAAAAATCAGCCGGGCATGGTGGCATGGTGGTACGTGCCTGTAGTCCCAGCTACCTGGGAGGCTGAGGCAGGAGGATCACTTCCCAGGAGTCTGAGGTTGCCGTGAGCTAGGCTGACGCCACAGCACTCACTCTAGCCTGGGCAACAAAGACTCTGTCTCAAAAATAAATAAATAAATAAATAAATAAATAAATAAATAAATAAATAAATAAATAAATAAATAAATAAATAAATAATTTTCCCAGTTGAAAAAAGTGAAAGATTGGAAAAAGATCTTCACCAAAGTATGAGGTTTGTTCATACTCACCAAAGCATACAAAATTCAGCAAAATACTGTTAAAATTGAATTTAAAATATCAATATGATTTCAAGATTTTAAAAAGTGTATGTTTTAGCTCAGTTCACAGCAAAGGCTTAGAAACAATGGACTCAGTATAAATGATATTCCTAAAGTCTAGATATTAGTTTCTAGCATTATTAGAAACACAGCTAGCTTCATGTCTGAAGCAGAGAAAGTACAAAATAAATTTGAATTATCTTGCTGATAAGCCCAGCAAGTAAGGGATCATTCAAAGATCAAAGGGATAAGATTAGAGGCAGTTCAAAAGGGCTCCCAATAGCTAAAACTCTCACAATTTGAACGTAAGAAAGAATATTGTTGACTGAGACACACCGATCCTATGAAAATCTAAGTTTATATACAATAATAAAAAAAAAAGAGAGAGAGAAAAATGAGGAAAAAACTCATCTGGGTGGATTTTATACTAACTCTTTACTTTGAAAATTGATAAAGAGAAGAATTAAACATTTATCCTGCCTTTTTAATAGGAATTGTCATTTCAGTAACCAGAGTTCCAGCTGATGAAAGAAAACTCTACAAGACTGGCAGTTAGTAAAAACAAGACATTACAACTGAAAATAAATAAATTTCAACTTCTGACACATTACCAGTCGATAATCCTTCCATGAGTCAGTAAACAGTTCAGACAACTGAACAACTTTGCAGTGCCAAAGTAGGACTGCACAGATAACCTCCAGATTGCAAGAGGAAAGATCTACTGGTTACAAGGAAAGATCATGTGGCTACCACCCTGATCTAATGCTCAACTCAGCTTCACTAAGTATGGCGCAACCAGAGACTGTGTTTCTTGATGTAATAAAGGAAAAAGTACTTATTAGCTATGATGTATGCTATCAGCCAAAAATAATTACGTAATCAAACCTAGTAATTTAACATCCAGTCCTAGCTTGAACTAGTTATAAATTTACAAAGACTTAAGAGATACAACAACCAGATGCAGTTCATCATCCTGCAGTGGAAAAAATCATTTGTAAAGGATATTTTTCAAATAATGGGAGAAATTTCAATGTGACTATTATATGTAATAAAATAATAACTTTCTAAATGTGATGTTATTTCAGACCAGAAAATATTATTTCTTTGCAAACTGAAATACTTTAGAGGTAGTGTGTCATAGCTGTAATTTAAAGTATCTCAGCATTAAAAAAGCTAAAAAATGACTTTTATATAGAAAAGAAATCTATATTCTAAAACAGCAAATAATCATGTACAGCCAACTATACTTATTTTTTCATACCCTTCTTTCTCCTTGAACTCTAACCCCTCACCCTTTGGAAATGCTCTCTCATTGGATATCACAGCATGAGGACTCTTTGATTTCACAGGGTGAGCTACAACTAGAATCCCCTAGGCTCTAGGGTGTGATACAAGTAATAATAGGGAGAAAGGAGTGTGTTATGTGTCTTCCAACCATTTTCAAATCATAAAAAAAAATTAAAAATAATATGCCTCTCAATGATAAGCTCCTAGAGGACAATGCACCAAAAGACTCTTGAACCTGATAAACATTTTATCATCTTAATTGGGTAACTAGATTAGCTTAATGCTCCTTAGAAGCTCTGTTGCTGCTTGTAAAGTTTTTTCAAAACAAGAGATTCATTTAAACAGGAAAAGAAAAGGAAAAATAGAAGTAACTTTGTGGAAGGTAAGTTCCCATGGTCCTAAAGCAAACTCAGGCTGGACAATCAGATTTTGAGAAAGATAAGCAAGTATTGTTAAAAACAAACAAAAAAACATTTAGTGATGTTAACTCTACCCATCCTTAAGTAGTAAGTCTCACTGGGAAAAACACATGGACTTTATAATGAGACAAACCTAGCTGTGAGTCTTGGCAAGTTACTTTTTCTTAGGAGCAATTTTCTCATCAATACACAGCTTCTTATCTTGCAAAGTAAATGCCCAATGCACAAAGGGCATTGCAACGTATGTTAAAGTCTTTCCTTCATGAAGGTCTCCTCTGACTTCTAACAGGATCCTTTTTCCTAACTTTTAAACTTGTCCATGTTATTCTAAAAATCACATACTGCCTCTGACTATTCAAATTATTTTTATATGTACTTTATTTCCTTAATCAGAAATGTAAATACCTGACAAACCAGGAATATTCCCAACTTTTTTTAACATATCACTCATAACCTATAGCATAGGACATAGTAGATATTCAATACTTGCTGAATACAGTTATACTTAATCTGAACTTTGCTCTACAAGCATAATAACTCTAAGCTTTTCAATTCGTAGATACCAATGTCAGAAAGGTACTATGAAACCAGCTTCCCACACTCTTTGTCATGTAAAAATTCTTTTGGAGGCTCCATGGCTTTGACTTTAGTTTTTAATTATATTTTTTATGCTTTTTAAATGTAGATTTAGCTATTCTCTAAGACATTTAAAATTTAACTATTTTATGAAGAACTGGAAATAGGGCATGGTCTATACTTTATTTGATTCTTCTTGTCATACTCAGTATCAGGACAATATGTGTAAATATATAAGAAATTAGTAGCTACAGGAAAAATAATTTGAGCTACCATCTATGATATACATCCTGATGTCTCCAAATCTTGATTCATACATGCTCTAAAGCAGAACTTTAAATGCTTCCTGGACATCCTTATCTGAGCATCCCAAATGCTTTTCACACTCAACCTATCTAATCCAAACTAATCTTTCCCATCCATATATGCTTCTCTTCCTTAGATTATGGGACATTTAGGGTATCATCTTCCACCCAGTTGCCTAAGCTCAGAATGCTGTTTCACTCACTCCTAACATATCCTGTCACCAAAAGCCCTGTCTGCTCCACCTCTGAAGTACCTTTCTACTCCCTTTTACTCTAATCACCATAGGCTCTACTTAGGCCCTAATGATTTCTCCTGTGCTTTACCGAAATCATCTAAATTGATATCACTGCTTCCAGTAGTCCTCCACAAAGCTATCATAATTCCTTTTTAAAACACAAAATTGGAATTCTGTTTTGAAGTGTGTGACAGCTTTTTATCTAGAAGTCAAAAGTCCTTAGCATAGCACACAAAACCCTGAAGACTCCTTCTCATTCAACTTTTGAAGACTTCAGTCAAATGTCAACCCCTCTTGTGAATGATTTCCTACTCTCCTAGAGGGGGAAGGTCCCTACAGTGCTCATATTACTTTGTACCCATTTTTATTAAAGCACCTGCCACACTGTAATTATATTTCAAATAGAGAGAGCTAGCTCACAGAAAGCAATAAGGAAATAAAGCAATAAGGAAAACAATTCAGGAAAAGGACTTGATCAGCCAATTAACAGGAAAGAAATACTAAATAGCCAATACAGTCTTCTCTTGGTATCAGCAGGGAATTGGTTCCAGGACACCCCCACATCCCAAATCTGCACAAGTACACTAAAGCCCTGCAGCCAGCCCTGTGGATACAGTCAGCCCTCCCTATGTGTGGGTTTTACATCTCTCAAACACTGTATTTTCAACCTGAGTTTGGTTGCAGATGTAGAACCAACCTACTGATATACAGAGGACAGACTATATTTACTGAAAAAAAAAGCACACGTAAGTGGACTCTCACAGTTCAACCCCTGTGGTTCAAGGGTCAGCTGTAAATATATATGTAAAGAAGTTGAATCTCATTCTTAAAGAAATGTAAATGAAAAACAGCAAGATATCATTTTGCATTGTAATGACAGATTAAAATATTTGCTACTTAATACTTGAGAATTATTAGTGAGAAAGGAGAAGAAACAGGCTATATTGAGAACATAAATTGGCACTTTTTAGGAGAGAAACGAAGTCCTTTCCATAAAAATTTAAATGTACATAATCTTAGACCTAGCTATTCTAAGTTATTTGTATGTAGGAATACTCATCACAGCGTTATTTTTAAGTGAAAAACTGGAAATAACTTAAACATCATTCAATACAGAACACGTTAAATCTATCAACAACCCATTTAAATAAATACTGTCTAGTTATTAAGAAGAATGAGGTAATTATATATGTTGCTAGCATAAAGAGAAATCTAAGACATGAAAACTGAAGTTGCAGAGCCATGTGGACTGCATGATGTCATCTGAATACTCACGTACACACAATAGATGTATTTGCTATACATGCTTATAAATGTATAGAAAATACTTGGAATACATAAACTTAACACCAATTATTTACGACAAATGGGATTAGTGAAGCCAGGAGCTAACTTTAGTTTTTAACTTCTATATTATTTCATTTTGTAGAATGAGGCTACACTGATTTTATAATAAATGTTTTTAAAAAGTCTCTCTACAATTGGAGAAAAAAATTCTACATTCCTTTATAAAGATTACTATTTTAACAAACTGCATATGTAACTGAAATACATCTGTTAGGTAAACTACCAGGTAATACTTTAGGTTTATTCTTTCAAACTGGAGTAGGTATTTAGTAGTTTTTCCAATAAAATACAGTACTAAAAACTGTTCCATTACTCATTAAACTTGCTATAAGATATTTATGTACTAGATAAGAGCCCCCAATACTCTATCAAACACCATTAAAAAAATTAAATGCCTCACCTCTTCTACTTTGCACTGAAGCAAGAGGAAAGAAAAGAGACAGGAAATAGATTAGGAATATAGAAAATTCATACATTTATAAATAAACTGCAGATTTGGAAGCATTTCAAAATTAGAGCCTAAGAAATACTACACATAGAATAAATCTTTAAAGTCTTCACTAATCATTACACTAAATTCTATACAAGTAATGGAAGAGATACATGTTAAACAGTATTGACCAAGCACTTCTTGCTAAATCTGATATTTAATTTCCAGTTAAGAGAAAACCTTCCCAGCCAAGTTTGTTAGACTACTTACTGATCTGATTCAAAGTTTCCTGAGGAATCCAACTCATATCAACATCATTCTGACTTGATGTACCCATTTCTACTTTCTGTATGGGCCTCTTGCGCTAAGAGAACATAAAAATATAAAAAATGTAAAAATATATTTTAAATATATATTTAAAAATATATTTTAAAGTAGTTCCGTTACATTGAATTTTCCCTTGCTAAAAAGTTTCATATGTTACTATACCATTGGCAGACCAAATAAGAATGTCTATTTATATAATGATTTTCTTTCCCTTTAGGAATCAAATTGTAATCAAAGAATAAATTTATTTCTATGTTCAATAAAATTCAGGATAACTGCTGAAATGTTGCAAGCAGGCAGTTTCTGAATTATAAGTTAAATAGAGGTAAAAGGTTGGCACAGATAAAACAAAAACATAAAATCTCATTTGAGCTAACAGTTAACCTCAATTTATTTATTTTTTTATTTTTTTTTGAGACAGAGCCTCACTTTGCTGCCCAAGCTAGAGTGAGTGCCATGGCGTCAGCCTAGCTCACAGCAACCTCAAACTCCAAGGCTCAAGCAATCCTGCTGCCTCAGCCTCCCGAGTAGCTGGGACTACAGGCATGCACCACCATGCACAGCTAATTTTTTCTCTATATATTAGCTGGCCAATTAATTTCTTTCTATTTATAGTAGAGACAGGGTCTTGCTCTTGCTCAGGCTGGTTTCGAACTCCTGACCTCGAGCAATCTTCCTGTCTCAGCCTCCCAGAGTGCTAGGATTACAGGCGTCAGCCACCGCACCCGGCCAACAACCTCAATTTAATCTAAGAGCCTCAAACTTTCTCCCTAGAGTATTTACAACAAAACTGCTAGAAAGTAAAAATGATTCATTTTTTGCCTGCTCTAAAAAAATACCAAAAAATAATTTAAAAAACTTATCAGGCCGGGCGCGGTGGCTCACGCCTGTAATCCTAGCTCTTGGGAGGCCGAGGCGGGCGGATTGCTCAAGGTCAGGAGTTCAAAACCAGCCTGAGCAAGAGCGAGACCCCGTCTCTACTATAAATAGAAAGAAATTAATTGGCTAACTGATATATATATGTAAAAAATTAGCTGGGCATGGTGGCGCATGCCTGTAGTCCCAGCTACTCGGGAGGCTGAGGCAGAAGGATCGCTGGAGCCCAGGAGTTTGAGGTTGCTGTGAGCTAGGCTGACGCCATGGCACTCACTCTAGCCTGGGCAACAAAGTGAGACTCTGTCTCAAAAAAAAAAAAAAAAACAAAAAAAAAAACTTAATTATCTAAATATGTATTATATAGTCCATAAATTAGATTTTGAACATAAAGATAATTAAATAATGGCTTCACTGAAATGGAAAAAAAAAGGTATAGTTATACCTAATAAATTTATAGTAAAAATTCCAGTTATTATGAAAATGAGGCAATGAAGTTTTAGAAATTAACATTTAAGCATTTCTTTTAAAGAAAAGTGCTGGCCAGGTATGGTGGCTCATACCTGTAATCCCAGCACTTTGGGAGGCTGAGGCAGGAGGATCACCTGAGGCTAGGAATTCAAGACCAATCTGGGCAACATAGTGAGACTCCATCTTTACAGAAAATTTTTTAAATTGGCTGATGTGGTCATATGCACCTATATTCCCAGCTACTCTGGAGACTGAGATAGGAGGCTCATTTGAACATAGGAATTGGAGGCTACAATGAGCTATGATCATGCCACTGCACTCTAGCTTGGGTGACAGAGCAAGACCTCACTTCTAAATAAATAAATATTTAAAAAATGTGTGGTTATTAATAACATTTATTGTTAATTTTAATATAGATTTGACTGACTTAAGGCTTAATAAACATTTGCTAAAATGACTAACAGTTGTTCAGGGTCTAACAGATTATTCTAACATATTTGACACAATTTGTGTTATACTTTTCCATCGAGAAGAATAGCATAATTTGGAGTTACAAGAACAGTAAGAAGGTAAAGAACACTCTGGAGGGTACAAAGGACAATCATTGTATATGTGCATGAAAGTGTAAATGTATCCAAGTTACATATCCAAGGTCTCATCTTCAGGTTTTACTTTTATAAGGTTCTACAAAGCTGTAAGTATACAAACTCATGGTCAGAAGCAGCTACAAAAAACTAGATTGTGCTTAACTCAGTGTTGTAGTGACTTTTGAAGTATGACTATAAGAGGTGTTTATCTATAATTACCTTTCTAGACTCTAGGAGTTGATGAAGGCCAACAACAACCAGAAGCCCAAGACCAGCAAGGAACATATACATAAAGATTCTGGCATAAAAGAAAATATAAACTGGCATTAATTCATAGGAAATACCACAGCTAATTACAACTGTTAATTCTAATACATGACATAAGCTTTCCAAATAACTTGTAGGGAAAAGGACTATTTTTCACTCAACTTAAAATTCAGGCAATTAGTTTTATAAATGTAATTTGTATTTAAGAGCAAGTAGTCAATAAAAAAGCAATTCTATGATTTAAAATAAATAAAATTACTTTATAATTTATGCTATATTCAAAGCTCACAGTTTAAAATAATTGTGTTAGGTTTTGTGTGCCTCAGACATTACATTATTTTGCACAATTTAAAAATTATTTCAGGTGAATTACATTTAAGTCTACAGTAAGAATGATTCATCATTCAGAAAAAAACATGTTTTTCAAGAGAAAAACTTCTAATTTATGTTCTCAGCAGTAATTTTAGACTTAACTTATGCTGGTGAAGAAGCTTACGGGCATGGGGTAAAAAAAGAATTTAGAAGAGATGAAGGACAGAAAGCCAACTACTATCTTTTAAAAAGATTTGTCAGTTTCACCTATCTTTCCTAACTTGATATTAATAGTTATAACAATCATCTAAAGTAAGAATGAATGTAGTAAGGATTTCACCAAATCATATAGTCTATTTTCACCATTCAAAAAAATTTGCTGAAATAGGAGCAAACCTTCCAGTCCTACCTTATGAAAAAGATCTACATACGGTAACTTTCACTTACGTTTCTCCATCTAACCCATCTTCTCTTTCAATAACTGTAACTGTTTGATTGAAGACTGCATCTTGGAATACATTGCCCTGTTTAAAAAAAAAAAAAAAAATCACAAAAATCTGAAATGTATTGAAAGTATGAAAGCTTGTAAGATTTCTTAAAACTGTTACCATCACAGATACACTATCACTTTCTCATCACTTAGGCCAGTAAACTCAACAGAGTCACATGTAATTACACTATTCAATGTCAGGGAATGAACATTATAATTTTACTTTCGCCTATAAAATAAAAATATCACCAGATTGGGCACAGCAGCACCTGCCTATAGTTCCAGCTACTCGAGAGGCTGAGATGGCAGAATCTCTTGAACGCAAGAGTTCAAGTCCATCCTGGGAAACAGTGAGACCCCTGTCTCAGTTGTCCCCCACTTTCTTTGGGGTTGAGGTGTGTGAACAATCAGGAAAACAAAGTAAAAACCAGATAACATTGCAGAAAGAAACAAAGATTACAGAGCATTCATACATCAGCAGCTCTACCTTCTGTTATCTTCAATCTTCCAAAACAAGGAAGGAAGCATGAAAATGTACAGTAGTTGCAAAAGCAGATCATTTTAAGAACTGGACCTGAATAAAAGTCAAATTCATGTTCTAAACTGACAATGAGCTGGAAACCAATTTCTTTATAATTAATGGGTTGGTGATTTTCAGTATCAAATTATTTTTCTGTTGTGGTCTTGAAACTATTTTGTCAGGTCAACACAATTTTAGTTTTCAAATATATCAGAATCACTGGGACAATACACAGCTCTGTGTTCAATGCCTCACACAAATACAGTATTTTTTTAAAACTGCCAGTTATTGCTGAACTATAAATATATAAGTTTTATTTCAAGATCTTTCAGTTTGCTTCCTCTATTGACAATTCCAGGAATCAGAATATGCTAATGAAAATAACATTCAAAATGGAATAGAAACTACATATATGCTTGCTGGATCACACTTACTTCTACGTGAAAGGATGAAAACCTTTCCTGTCTACTAAGTAATTAGGAAAAAAGGGAAAATTTAATGGCAACACGAGAAATTTAACTCAGACATAAGTTAAACATGTTAACACTAGGGTGATGAAAAGCCTTAATTAGCTTCCAAGAGAAAATGAAATTTCCTTCTCTGAAAACTTTTTGAAAAGGGAATGGTTTATATGTGCTCTCATTTGAGGGACACAACAATTGGCAAAAAGGGGTTGACTTCCAGCCTCAAATTCTAGTGGGTTTCTTTCATTTAGTCAAAGATGACTGATATATCATATGTATAACATACATTTAAAAATCATAATACATCAGAGCTTATATTGGGACATTTGGTTCTCATAAATGAAAACTAAACTATAAATCTTGCTGCTAAACTACCTTAAAAATATCTGGTTATATCTTATCTGTGAGTATATAAAATGATGGAAAAACAATTGCAGAAAGTCTTTAAAACTTACAAATATAAGCAGCAAAATGGGCAAAACAAGCAACAAAAGGAGGTACAAAAGCACATTACTTAATAGATCTTAACATCTAAAGCAGCAGTAGACTCCACTGTGTGGCTTGCTGCTCCTTTTCCTTTTGAGATCCTTTTCCTCCAAGTCACTTCCCCTCCCACACAACTGCACCTTATTACACATATCTCTAGTATGCATCCCTTATCACACTGTTTTACTACCTGTTTTTGCCCATCCTCCTCACTGGATTATAGACTTGATAGAGACATGTAATTTATCTTTGCCTCTTTGGTGCCTACCACAATTTCAACCACAAAATAAGTACTTGAATGAATAGAAGACTGTTTATTAAACAATGTCAGTTGTCTCCATTCTTCGCTAACCTTAAAAAAAAAAAATAAGGTTTACCGGCCTTACATTCAAATCTTTGTAGTTCAGATTGATGACCAGACCAAACGGTCGTCCACCCATAGGCTCCGCAGGAATGAAGGAGTACTCAAAAGTTGCTTGTCTCTGGGGTGGCACTACAGTGTTCAGAGGAAGAGCCGTGAAATTCTGGATATAAAACTGGTAGTCCTGAGGATAACGGAATGAGGCATCTAAGGATTCAACAATGAAATCTTCTGTACCCTTGTTTGTAAAGCCTACCAGGAACTTCACAATGTTATTTGCTGGAAAATCTGAGAAACAAAATAGAGACAAGAAAATTTGAACATATACCAAGAGTTCAAAATAAAAAGATATTACTAATAGATTTTGACACCCATTTCCTACTGCATATGGACTTGGTTTCAGAATTCTTTTCAACAGAACACTCCGGTCAGCCTCTAAGTAGAAATTAATCAACTAGAGTTGTTGTATAAGCTAAAACCCTTTTGCAGAGAAAAGAATGATAGAAAGATAGAGTCCAAGAAGACCATCTGAAAACTAGTATTTGTTAGAACATAAAATATTAATCAGACAATCCATCTCCACTTTAAGCAAGTAGGAAAATGTAAATTTGAAGGTTAAGACCCAAGGAGATAGACATAAAAATAAATGAAGCAAAAATCACTTAATCAAATTATACTTTTTGCAGGCATAAAGCTGGAAAGTACACGGGAATAAAACAAAAAACTTGAGACCAAGAAAATTAATAACTTTCAATATTAAGTCTTCACTAATTATACTGTAGACTACAGAACTGAGTTCCATCCAGTACAGTACAGGCTGTGGCGTCAGACAGATTGTCTCCACAATCTATTTATGAACTGGATAACCCTGGACAAGTTTCTCAACCTCTCTAAGCCTCAGTTCAACAATACTATGGTGTTAGGATTAATACATGCAAGGTATTGAGAACAGTGCCTACGGTATAGCCCTCAATAAATATCAGCCATTCCATTTATTTACTTTTAATGAAATCTAGGCTCTATCCAAGGCATAACTGAAGAGATTTAATGTTTCATTAACGTTTAACACTCAAAATATAACAAGTGACTTTGCTGTGACAGTTTGAAAAAGTTTTAAAACATTATCTTTTTGAAAAGGACATTTAATTTCTAGTCAAATTGAGCAGTATTTATTTTTCCCTTAGTTTAAATGCCAGCAATACTACCTTACAGATATGGGTATTCATATATATGAGAAAGTTTTTTCAAAATACTTGTTTGCACATTTGTTATATAAAAGAGAATGTTAATAAAGATCTTAAGCACTACCAATGCTTCCCATTAACCCCAAGCTTATCATTTTAAAAGTCCTATATCTGAATAAAAACTAGTATTTCTATATTACCTTCTCCTTTTACAAACAGGATAGTTGTATCTGCACTTGGTGAAGCTTCAGGTTCACCAGATACATCTTCTTCCTCTTTATCTTCTGCCTAAGAAAAACAACATTAAAAATGGATTACTATGGGAGAAAAAAAAATGCATCATCCTTTAAGAATAAAGACTTTTAGATTTCAGTTTCTTGAGCAAAAAAAAAAAAAAAAAAAAAAGAATAAAGACTTCACTAGATTTTGGCAAAATATTGCTTCTCCGTGGCTTTACTGAGATTAGTGATATGAATTCCATTGTCTCATAGTTAAAACAATATATAGAGCAGTGCTTCTTGATGGCAATGTGCATACCAATTCTCTGGGGATCTTGCAGATCTGATTTAGGTCTAGAATGAAGCCTGAAATCCTGTATTTCTATAAGCACCCAGGATATGCCAAGGCTGCTGGTATTCAGACCGCATTTTGAATTGCAAGATTCTAGAGCAGGGGCTGTAAACTTTTTCTGGAAAGGGCCAAATAGCAAAATATTGCTCTAGAGACCATAAATTCCCTATTGCAACTACTCAACTCTGTGACTACAGTGTGAAAGCAGCTACAGACAATAAATGAGTGGGCACGGCTGCCTTTGGCCTGTGGCCACATTTTAATCACCCCTGTCCTCAAGCAACTTGATGTCAGCCTACAAAGATTTCCATTCATATAACAGAAAAAATTTCCTTTGAGAATCTGTCACACAATTTGCAAGAATTTTTTTAAAAAAATGTTATCAGGGATCTTATTAGGGTAATATAAACATCCTAAAACTGAGTTCATGTTGCACATCTGAGCAAATTTACTAGTCGTATGCTTAAAAGAAGTGAATTTTACAATACATAAACTATCTTTCAAAGTTTTTTTTTAAAAAGTGAACAAATTTTACATTTAAAACTCTAAACCTCAGTACAGCATCATTTCTCCAGGCATTAAAAAGGATTACAGAGATAATCATATATTTGAAGTGTTCAGGCTCTTAAATTGAGATGCTTAACCACTTCGGTACAAGCGTCAACTATAGTCAATAGCCACAGATGAACGCGCACAGCAACTCTAGCCAACAGCCATGATATGAAGGTGCACAGCCAAGTGTCAACTTTAGCCGACAGCTGTGATATGACTTTTCTAATTTTTCATTTGTCAAAATAAATTGTGAACATTTAAAAATAATGTAATGAAAACATATATGTGTATGTTACCTATTCTGATTTACATTACAAGTAAAGCTACCTGTAAAGTAAAACAAGCTTTTAGTGCTTTAAAGCTTTCCTCATTACACAAGAGCAAAACGGATTCTTCGTCAATGCACAACACAAACTACCGTGTGGACTATGAGTGCCGGCTGTGGGCAAGGTTTCGCGGCCGGTGAGCGCAGTCCCGAAGTGGTTAAGGGCACACTGTTTACTGGGAGTTAAGTTTTCATTTATGTAAAACACTCCATCCCCTAGTAGATAAGACTTCTAAAGGGCAAATACTGTCTTGTAATTTAAAAATTCTCCACATTTGGCTCATGCACTTAAAAATGAACTCAAACATTTGTTCAATGACTGTGAAACTGTGTTATAAGTTACATTTTAAGTATTCTTTTTTTTTTTTTTTTGAGACAGAGTCTCACTTTGTTGCCCAGGCTAGAGTGAGTGCCATGGCGTCAGCCTAGCTCACAGCAACCTCAAACTCCTGGGCTCAAGCAATCCTCCTGCCTCAGCCTCCTGAGTAGCTGGGACTACAGGCATACACCACCATGCCCAGCTGATTTTTTCTATATATATATTAGTTGGCCAATTAATTTGTTTCTATTTATAGTAGAGACGGGGTCTCGCTCTTGCTCAGGGTGGTTTTGAACTCCTGACCTTGAGTAATCCGCCCGCCTCGGCCTCCCAGAGTGCTAGGATTACAGGCATGAGCCACCGCGCCCGGCCTTAAGTATTCTTAATGATAGCATTCACTTGGTAAGAGTAAGGTTCTACTTTTGGGGAAAGAGACTCATATAAGTAGGAGAAGAGATCAGAGACAGGGAGGCTGGAAACATAAGCTGTAGGAATAAAGAAGAAAAGGTTTACTTGAGACACAGTTAAGAAAATTCATCCCTATGATTTCATTAATGGGTTTTAGAGAATAAAAACAAATGGAAGACATAACAAGGCAACAGCTCAAATCACTAGAGCCATATCAAAACAGGAAATAATTTATGGAGATGGGACGGATGGTAATTCTGAATTGCATTTTGGACATATGAAATTTGTGGTACATATGGAGCATCCAAATGAAGCTATTCTGTGAAGAAGTGGAAATACAAGTATGGAGTTCAGTAAGGTAGGTGGCTAGAAATGGAGATCTGAAAGTCACCAATAGAAAGTGGTAGTGGTTGAAACCACACATCTTACCAACATAAAGGGAGTGAGCAGAGGAAGAGAATGTAGTAGAGAGACCAAGAAGCAGCAGCAGCTGGGCAGGGAAAACTAAGGGGTGGGGGGTGCCACAGAAGCTAACATAAAAGGATTTAAGGAAGACATAACCAGTACCTGCTAAAAAGAGCTCCAACAGGATAACAATGGAAAATAGGCCAGGAATTTGGCAATTAGGTTGCTTGCTGGTGACCTTAGCAAGAATAGTTGTACTAGGTATATGGGGTCAGACAGGTTGAGAAGGAATATGAAGGAAGCAGATCAGAAAAGCTGGACAGGTTATTGTTTCAAGAAGTAACTGGTGCTGGTAAAGATTAGAAAGTGGATAGCAGCTTCAGGTGGATGAATAGTTTATAAGCATGTGTGTAGCTTAATATAGCCACTGAGAAGGATCAATGCTTGAAGTTACAAAAGGAAAGATAATCTAACAAGATCCCACTGGAAGAGACGGGGAAAGAGCACACATGGAAGGGTTAGTCTTAGAAGACAACAAGGACAACTCATTATTAAGGAGACAATGCAGAAAGGATGGGTAAATAATATATTTAGAAGTAGACTGTAGAAAATTTGAAGAGTTCACACTTGATGGCCTTCTTCACTTTCCAAAACTGAAGGCAATATTGCTGCCAAGACCGAAAAGAATTGATGTTAGGGGTTTAAAAGTGGTAAATGTCTGGAACCCTAGCTGTGGAAAACTGCAAAGTACATGTAAGTAAAAGTAGCTAAGTCATTTATCTTATAGCTAATCAGCATATCATAAAACATATAATGCTTACTACTTGCTACCTTGTAAAACCCCAAAATATTTCAACTATCACAGACTACCTCCAAAAGCAGAGTAAAGATACTGGTAAGCACTGGGTGCCTCTAGAGAGACGGCTTCAGTGGCTGGAGGACAGGCATACGAGGAAAACTTTTCACTAAATACTTCGTACCTTTTAAATTCTGAGCCATTTGAATATATTATCTATTTTAACTAATAATTTTTAAAGGGAGCTAGTGTTATTACTGCTATAGTTCTTGTTTTAATAAAAATAACAACTATCATTTCTGTTTAAAAAAATACTTTCTGAAATGATGGCAAGCTACATTGCAACCCATAGCTTTCTAGAGTTAAAAAAAAAAAAAAAAAATCAGCAGAGTAGAAAAGCCCCAGGTTACTTTTAAAAAGGTTAGTACTGTAAAATTTTATGCCAATAACTTGTATCTAAACCAGCTCTTGGTATCTCACATCTTAAGAAAAACCTCCTTTCGGCCGGGCGCGGTGGCTCACGCCTGTAATCCTAGCACTTTGGGAGGCCGAGGCGGGCGGATTGCTCAAGGTCAGGAGTTCGAAACCAGCCTGAGCGAGACCCCATCTCTACCAAAAATAGAAATAAATTAATTGACCAACTAAAAATATATATACAAAAAATTAGCCGGGCATGATGGCACATGCCTGTAGTCCCAGCTACTCAGGAGGCTGAGGCAGTAGGATCGCTGAGCCCCGGAGATTGAGGTTGCTGTGAGCCAGGCTGACGCCACGGCACTCACTCTAACCTGGGCAACAAAGTGAGACTCTGTCTCAAAAAAAAAAAAAAAAAAAAAAAAAAAAAACCTCCTTTCCTTCGCTTACTCCAGGGACACAGGCCCAGCAGCAAAGGATCCTTCCATAATCTCCCAATTCTTTGATGCCTTGGCAACTGAGTATAAGCTGATAATACAGAAATCTTGGGAACAACAACAGGCAAAATTCTAGCTCATTCTAGGTGACTTCTGTAGCAGCTTTGGCTCTGTGGGCCCACTTTCTTAGACAGCCTACATACAAGCCTACCTCTGCTAGTATGGTTTAGTCCAAAGGAAGGAAACATTTTCCCTGCCTTCCTGTTTCAATCAACCCTAATCATTTTCTGATTTGAAAAAAGTAACCATGAAGAGCTATTAAGACTTTTGTACTAATTGGCCAGGATGGGAAGTGGACAATCAGAGTTGTTCTTTTTTCTCTAATGGTTCTCAAGGCAGGGGAAATGATTAAGGTATGGAAAAGTTCTGGCCAACATTGTAAGGATATCAAGGATCTAACAGTTCCCTTCTCTATTCTCTTCGTCCACAATAAGTACATCCCAGTGCCAAAGAGCCCAAGTAATTTCATATTAATGGCTATCACAATATAATCCATCACCAAATTTCTGTACATGCCCAAATTTCAAAGCCCCAAATATAATTTTTAATCCTAAATTCCTAAATGGATTCCCTTCCAATAGTCACTCTAACAGTGGCACTTTTAGAACAGTCAAACACTTATTACAAACAATGAAGCAGGAATGTATTGATCTAGTTTAAATGGTTCACTTAACGAACCAGTTTGAAGATACAAAGCCCTAATATAAATCCCAAAAGTATGGGTATACATCTATATGAAAGGCTTGACATCCAGGTGATCAGTAAGGGGTTCCTATAGAATGGAGCATTAGGAAAAGGTACACAAATTAGTAAGGCTATTCTATTCAGATGAAATAGTTGAAATAGTATGTCCAATGTATAAAAACAGTAACTCAAAAACATCAACAAAATAGCAAGCTGATTATCTTAGTTAGAAGGCATACTCCATAAAAATTAATATAAGCCCAAAGAGAAACAGAAATCTACATATTAGGCTAAATATTTTGATACTGAAATAACAGAATAGGAAATAAGTGGTTTAATCTGGAAGGAAATGACAAAATCTAGAACCATGAAAAGTTCCTAGTTCAAGTGTGGTATGAAAATAAAAGAAAAAAAATCTGTGTAGGACAATTTATAGTAGAAAAGAAACAAAATGAGTTAGCTAGACACATGCTGCAACAATCTTGATTCCATCCCAATATTCTTACTGTCATACTATAATTATACAGTAAAAATTTCAGAGCTGGATAACTTCTATGAGATCTTTTTCTAACTCCTTTACTCTTCACAGGACATATTTTACGTATAGTTTATTATCTGCTCCTCACCCCCTGCCCCAAAAACAAAAGTCCTAGAGAGCAGAAAACAGTGCCTGGCACATAGCAGGGACTAAAAAATACTTACTTTTTTTTTTTTTTTTTTTTTTTTTCTTTTTTTTTTGGAAACCTGGATGAGTCCAAAAAAATACTTACTTTTTAAATGAAAGCAAGCAAGAGGAAATTGAGACCCAGAGAGATAAGTCAGAAAGCTAAGCCGTATGTATCACAAATCTATTATCCCATGGTCCAGTACTATGCCCCCCACTATACTGTTACCCTCCTAGATCCATGTCCATATGATCTCCAATTGTTCTTTAACTATTTCATGTCTCCTTCCCCATTCCAAAAAATACTTATGCTCCATCTTCAATGACTGGGCCCTATTTTCCAACTTCAATCCATTTTGATCACATTAACAAAGCTCTAAAGTTAAGAATTTCATATTTTTATATAAAAAGAATAAATTCTAGATGTATTATATACATTCTATATATATTAAATCTACAGTCCCAAACCCCTGGGGCACAGACGGATTCCAGTCCTTGGCCTGTTAGGAACCACGCCAGCAAGTGAGCAAAGCATCATCTCTATTTACAGCTATTCCCCATCGCTGGCATCAACACCTGAAATTCGCTTCCTTGTCAGATTAGCAGAGACATTAGATTTCCATAGGAGCACAAACCCTACTTATAAACTGCACGTGTGAGAGATCTAGGTTGACACTCCTTATGAGAATCTAGTGCCTTATGATCTGAGGTGGAGCAGTGATGCTCTAGCACTGGGGAGCAGCTGCACAATCATCCTGAAACCACTCCCAACTCCCAACCACCCCCTCCCCTCTGTGGAAAAACTATCGTCCATGAAACCGGTCTCTGGTGCTAAAAAGCTTGGGGACTTCTGTATTAAACTGTATATAACACTAACCAAATCTGTGGGTTCATCTTCTTCAACCTCAGCTTCATCATCTTCATCTTCAATTATTGAATCTTCCACTGTTTCTTCATCCTCTGTAAGATCTTGAGCCACTGCTAATGAGCCTAATAAAATATAAAAGAGGCAGTTAACCTTTACTCTGGAATACCAACATTTTTTAAGATCAGGTATAGGCAAGAAAATTTTCACCCTAGAATTACTCAATGCCCCAGTTCACCAGAATGATGCCAAACTACTATGTATCTAAGAATATTTATTTTATTTTACTAGTAATCTTAACAACTGCATGTTAATTTTTAAAGTGAAATGCTGTTGAATTTTAAAAAGTACCCTTCAGGTATAAAAATGAACTTCGTAAACTAAAGAGGTCCTGAACTTCAAGCAATTTTGTTAAACAAAGGAAGGAAAATAAGTTTGTTGCAAAGATAAGAAACTCCTAAATTTAATCCCTGTCATTAACCACAACCAAAAAAACAGGTCTAAAAGAAAATAGCAACCTCAATATCTCCGCAAGAAACAATGTTATTAGATTTTACTACAGCTGAAACTCTTAGAATTTGATAGCATATAATTCCTGGAGAAAAAAATGTCTGTATCATATCCACAGTAAAAAACTACCTTGTGGGCCAGGCACAGTGGCTCACGCCTGTAATCCTAGCACTCTGGGAGGCTGAGACGGGAGGATTGCTCGAGGTCAGGAGTTCGAAACCAGCCTGAGCAAGAGCAAGACCAAGACCCCGTCTCTACTATAAATAGAAAGAAATTAACTGGCCAACTAATATATATAGAAAAAAGTAGCCGGGCATGGTGGCACATGCCTGTAGTCCCATCTACTCGGGAGGCTGAGGCAGAAGGATTGCTTGAGCCCAGGAGTTTGAGGTTGCTGTGAGCTAGGCTGACGCCATGGCACTCACTCTAGCCTGGACAACAAAGTGAGACTCTGTCTCAAAAAAAAAAAAAAAAAAAACCTAGCTTGCACAAAATACATTGTTTAAACTATATTGGTAGGTTCAGGGGTCACAGCAAAGAATCCAATTATTTTTGCATATGGCTTCAGATATGCTTTAAAATTTTTTATTTTTCCACATACCTGCCACAAAATACAGTTGTGATATCAAAAAATAAATAAATTATAGTTTTATTGGCAAAAGTACTCTAAATAAGTCACATTAAAAAGATTTCGGGCAAGACCCTCAAAAGAATTTCCAAGTTTCAGTGTCTTCCTACATTTCTCAGAAAAAATGATGATGTGGCAACTCAGTAGAGGAAAAAAAAATGTGGGAAGAAATGTGTGATACTCAGGAAAAATATATTAACAACCATGCATTTTAAATCTTTTCCACATCCTTGAGTTCTTACTGGCCTATAAGATTTCTACAAATATTAAAGAACATTGAACCACGATTATAAACTGAAAAACAGCTTCTGTTTACTCAGCAAAGACTAAAATAGTGCATTCATAATTTCCAAGTCATTTTCAAACACCAATAAAAAAAATCTATGTCTGACATCGTAATGTAGCTAAACTTGAGAACTTCTAAATATATATAATGACCCTACATTTCAGTGGCTATTCAACAGTTTTATTATTTTAATGTTAACCAGTAACAATTTTGTCCCTAAAAAGCCTAACAACTTTCAATTGGAAAAACTGAGAAAACATTTTCTTGAAAGAAAAAAAAAATGCTTACAAGTTATTGATACGGTTTAGTAAAAAGTTGATTTTCTTAAAGACGACGTTTATAAAACCTGAAAAATACAGTCTAAATTCTAAAACTAGAATCTAGTTTTAGACTTGTCAAATTTTCTTTAAAAAGCTGAATGAGAACAAACCAGCAAGCAACTCTAAAGGAAAAGAATCTCTTTTATACCAGGTATAAAAGAGGTATAAAAGAATCTCTTTTATACCTTAACAGTTTTGGTTAATTCTCCCACTTGGTTTTCTAATCAATAAACAGAAGTCAGTTACTTCACTTTTCGTTGTAAAACAACTTCTGGGTAACTGTCACTATTGTTCATTAGGCCACACACCTTGCTTATAGAATGAAAAGGAATTCTAGCGATCATTTACACTAATTCTTTCACTTTACAAATTAGAATATCGCAGTTCACGACAAAACCAGGGCAAGAGGCCAAGTTGCCACATTCTTACGTTCTGCCAAGTTACTTTCACACACCAGGTTAACTGTTGGAAAGAATAAACTCATATTTAAAAAGAATAAAATTCGAAGTAGACTTTTTCCAACACAATACGACGCTTCCACAAGTAATAAATGGTTACATAAAAAGACAGAGAGAGAGAGAAGAGGGACATCCCACAGGGATTCTTCAGTCCGCCTTGCAGTAGGGGCGGATAAGGGGGTGAGGATGGGGAATCTCCCTGAAATCAAGACTCCTGGTAATTCATAGGGATCAGGTGTTGGAAGAAGAGGCAGGTGACCATTAAAACATAAAGCTCTAACAGTTTAGATGTGTAGAAAACAAGGGTTTCAGCAAATGAATGAAGGCGGACTCCCAGCGTGGAAGCTAAAGACACGTCAGCCCAGAGCGCGAGGGGATGGGGGTGGAGCGGAGCTGGAGGCGGCCAAAAGAAAGACACCGGGCTGCGGCGCGTTCGGAGCGCAGCCGTGCCACGGCCCCCTCGCTTCCCCCCTCGAGCCGAGGACCCCGCGGCTGGGGGCATCCCTGCAGGCGTGGGCCCAGGGCAGAGGCGCAAGCCCAGCCCTCGGACGGCCACGGAGCAAGGGCGCCCGGGCACCGCGACGGCGCTCGGCGAGCAAGGGGCAGAGGCCGCAGCGGGGTCTCGCCCTGGCGCGCGCTGCGGACCCTGCTACGAGCTGGGGGCCGAGGAGGAAGAGCGGGGAGAAGGCGGAGAGGCGGACGCGGACACCGGGACCAGGAGGCGCTGTCACCTCCAACTTCAAACTTAACGCCGCTGGCGTCTTCTTCAGGGCCACCCCCCGCCGCCCACTCCCCTCGCCTTACCTCTGGGGCCGCCTCGGAGCAAGACAGTGGCGGGGAACACGAGCAAGAGAAGGAGAAGCAGGCGGGGGAGGAGTCTCATGGCGCGGCCAGTCCGGTGTCCAGTCCCCGTCAGCGAGGGTTCTCAGCGGCTCCGGCGGTAATGGCGTTACTCTTCATCCGGGCTCCGGGCGGGAGGGGCGGGGCACGTACCACGCATGGGCCTTCGCCACGCCCCCTCCGACCGAGGGGCGCCGCCGACGTGGCTGCTCCGCGCTCGGGGGGTGGGCGCGGCGGCCGCCCGCGCAGTCACATGGCCGGTTGCCGGAGTTTCTGGAGTTCCCGCGAGAGTCGGCCTCCCGCCGCAGTCACGGGCTGGACAGGTGCGTGCGCTTTGCCGCTTTTTCTGCCCTGCCCTCTCCTCTCAATCAACGCCGTCTGTGGTTACTTTATTTGAATTACGGTAACTGTGCTATAAGGATCATGAACTGCCTTTATGTGGCATTTAAAAGCAAAAAAAGAAATTGTTTTTTCTGGAATAGATAACATTGTTTCCCTCCCCCTAAAAAAAAAACCATTAAAATATATACAGTGGAAAAAGACATACAGTGGAAAATCTTTTTCCCCTATGCGCCTGCACCCTGTCCCATAGTTAAGGACCATTCTGAAATTCATATGTGACATTCCAGAATTAGAAATCACCTAAAACACTTCCTGGCATTTAGTAAGCATTTGGTAACTATACAATGGGTGCAGCAATGGCTGTAAAATTTTAATTTCTTCTACCTTCTCATCTACTTTGAACTTTGGGTTGCTGCAATAATCTTTTATTTCATGAAATTAATCTGAATACCAGGTAGGTTTGGATTGGACCAATGTGAATTGCCATGGAACAAATAAGCTAGCTCTTATTAGGTGCTTATTGTTGTCAATCACTATTCCTTAGAACTATGCTTTCATATATGCCTATGAGCTGTGTATTATTACTAAGGAGAAGACAGGCCCAGAGAGGTTAGTAATTTACCCACACCTTCAAAAAGCCAGCACATGGCAGGTGCAAGATTTGAACGGACCAATCTGGTTCCAGACTCCACACTACTGGCTTAGGACACTTGCTATTCTACTGTTGTCTCTGTTTAAGGTCTCATTGTCCTGGGGTCCCTGTAAAGGCAACTTGTAGCTCCTGCTACCACTATCTACTTCTGTCAGCTAAAGTCACAACCTCATAGTGCTGGGCTGAATCAACTTAACCCCATTCCAAGCAGCCCACCAGTGTTGCCACTGCTGCTGTTGCTGTTGCTTCTAGGGCCCCCTGCAGAAGTGGAGGGCCTCCCCAAGAGGGCATCCTCTCACTTTGCTGCTGCTTTGCTCCTGTGCCCAGCTACCAACCCTGCCACTTTGCCCAAAGCCACCAGGACTGCTGACCCTGCTTTGATGTGGCTGAACCTTGCTAAGTGCTCCACTGACAGGAATAATCTCCCTCCCCTACTTTGAGGCACTTTCTGCTTCATAAGTTTCAAATGAGACCTGTTCTTGGCTCCCAATGTCTGGTGGGTTGTTTTAGAAACACAACCTTCTATTTAACTTGTGGCTTTCTCCTAGTACCAGAACCAAACTGATGGAGACTACATAGAAGGCATAGTTATAGACCTCATGCTATATTCACAGTCACCTCTGCTCTTCATCCCTGCCTTGGGCATGTCTCACTGACTCTTTTTTTCCTTCAGAGGACTGACTTCTGATGGGAAGGACTTCTTATTCCTTATGTTAAAGCAATTCCTAATAGGTCTGTCTCACCAGTTGTCAGATGTTTAGATGTAGCCTGAACCTACTGTTGTCAAAACCACAAGGAAGTTTTAGTCTACATCCAGTTGCTAGTTGCACAAAGAACCAGTTATTGAAACAACAAGGATTGCCAAGTAAGAAAGGAATTTTTTATACAACGTATCTTACGAGGAGAACAGGAGAAGCTGCCTCAAATCCATCTCTCTGACTAATGGAGATCATGGGCTGTTAAAGGAGAAGCCATGTGCCTCCGGGCAGGTCATAATATAATTAACAAGGAGCTCCATACGTGCTTTGGGGCAGGTCATATGCCTCATTGGGGCAGCTCTGGGGGGGAGGGATGGTGACTCTAGGCTTCAGGAATCTTGCTCAGGGGCCATTGGAATCTCAACTCCTTTGTCTTGCAGAACATCCACCATTTCTGGGAAACAACTCAAAAGGTCAAGTAGTTGAGGGAGAGGATTAAACAGGGGTCAATAAAATTTGTTCAATACCCCCCCTTACACTATAAGAAAAATTTAGTTTAGGCTTCAACTGGGACTTCCACTCCTATGATGTGTGAACTAAAATGCTCAACCCCTACCGGCTGACTGAATGGACCCCCTCGTGGCCAGAGGAATATTCAAGGGCAAAGTTGCCTGCCAGGAGGAGGGAGGTCAGACAGGCCTTATCATGCCCCACTCCCTTCTTGGAGACTTCCTTTGTAACCAATTAACAGGCCTAAGGGTATGCAAGACAAACCTACAGGCCCTCAATTTGCAACAAATGGTGGCTTATCTCTGGTAAACAGTTTATGTTAAAACATTCCACGTCTTTAGACAAAGCTTCATGTCTTTAGCCAATTACAATCTAAAGAATCTTTAAACCCACCTATAACCTGTAAGCCCCCCCCCCCTTTGAGATGGCCCTCCTTTTTGGGCCAAACCAATGTATGCCTCCCACACATTGATTGATGGCTTTACCCATAACCCTTGTCTCTAAAATGTATAAAAACCAAACTGTAACCCAGCCACAGTGAGTCCACTTGCCCAAGGCCTCTTGGCAGTGGCTCTGGGTCATGGTCCTCAAATTTGGCTCAGAATAAATCTCTTTAAAATTATTTTGCAGACTTTGGCTTTTTTCCATTGACAGATGTTATCAAATGGTTACTGAAAGGACAGTCTTGCTAATAAGCTATCTAACACAGAAAAATAAACTATGTAACTTGCTGTCTTTTAAGATTAACCACAGGAATCTTAACTTGCTGTCATTAAGATTAATGACATGGGTCTTTAAAAATTAACTGCCTGCAGAGATTGTTTTACGCATTTGAAAAGAGCTGCACAGACAAAAAGGAAATGTAAATCCTCCTCTTTTATATTCACCAGACAAGTTTGGTCAGACTACTGGTAAGCCAGTGGGGGGGGGGGGAATGAACACCCTAACAACTCACAGCTATCTCCTGTTAATCAGTCTACAGAAATAAATTTTTCTTTACCCCTTTATAATCCCCAATAAAAAACCCAAGTCACTTGGCCTTGGAGGAGGCCAGCACTCCTTTCTTCCTTTCTTGTGCTGAACCCTTTCCCTTCTCTTTAGGAGAAAGTAAAATAAACTTTTTACTTCTTTCTATCCTAATCTTTGTGTTAAGAATTACTTCTCCACCCACATCATGAGCAGCCCCCCCACCCTAACATCTGGTGATCCATATGGGGACTCGCTGCTACCTCCAGAAGGGAGGAAGTCACTTCTCTGCCTCTGTATATATGAGTTCATTTTTCTGCCTCTGTCTGAAGACTGCTCCCTCTTCTGCAACACAGCTCTCAGTACAACCTTCTCAGCGTAAATGCACAAATACCATTTGGAATTCGGTGAGTCCCTTGTGTTCTGGAGTGATTATATGCCCAAGGTTAGGGGTGGTAGCTTTTGTCTAGGTTTGGTCTGAAAGAGATACCAGCACCAGGTCTACCACTCAGAAGGGTGCCTTGGAGGGGTGCCTCCTAACCACCCCCACTGGTCTTCACCAAGACCCAGGGACGCCTGGCCTTGGGGAAGATCTCTTGGTCTTGGTCTGGGTCAGAACTCAGGGACTCAAGTTCTCTGGCCAGATCTCTAGGTGTCAGTCTGACTCAGAGTCAGGGAGGCCTGATGTCTGATCAGAACCCTTAAGGTCATCTGAGTTGGAGACACCCCTCAGACCTTTTTTTATGGACATATGACCATCCCTAAAAGGTTCTTTTCTTGCTTCTAGTTGACATCAAGGGCAACCTTCAGTTGGCCCCACCTAAGGAATCCCCACTGGGATGTCTTCTTAAGACCTAAACATTTAGTCTTCTATTGCAATGCAGCCTCACCACAATATAAGTTAGATGACCAGGAGGTTTGGCCTGACAATGGCTCTCTTAATCAATTACTAATGGATTTTGTTTGGGACTTGAATTTTAGACAACCAGCTACTAAATGTGCAGCAGGAAAATATAAAGTTGTGCCTATTCTGGATGTTACTGATGGGATGAATTTAGAGAAAATAAAAACATACAAATAGAAAACACAGATCTGCATGACTGTCCAATTAGTACAAAAGCAGTAGCTTAGGGATCAGAGAAATAAAACGCTCACCCTGACTGGAGTGCTCACCAATTCTGCATCACTGTGCTCCATGTTCTTCCCATAAGAAGCAGCTTTCCCTCCATTCCCACCCAGAGCTCCCCACCCAATGGGTTCCAATCCTTAAATTATGGAATTAAGAATTCCATCTACTAACTTATTTAAGTTCTCCCAAATATTTCCTCACATTCTCCCACTCTCACCTCTGCACCTATCTCTTTGATGGTTTCTGTTTTCCAGGAATAGTCCACATCCTGGTTGCTCTCATTCATATAGCTCAGGCAAATCTGCCTTTGATTCTCCACTTCTGTCATTGTATTCCCTTAGAATTTGTAGGAGCAGGGAGTTCATTCCCTTTGCTTACTTAAGATTTCCCTCTGCATCCTTAGCAAATGTGTTTATTAAGCACTGGTTTTTGTCCTCTTGCATGTCCCCAGGCAACTGTGTGGCCAAATAACTCCCTTATGTCCTTTAAATCTTGGCTTAACTGTCACCTTCTCAATGAGGCTTATCCTGACCTCCCACTTTAAAAGTACAACACTGCCACCCTCACATTCCCCATTCCCTCTACTCTCCTCTTCTTCATAGCACTTGCTACCTTCCCACACAAGTTCAGTGTGTCCCCTGTCTCCTGTCTGTCAACAGCTTACAGCAAGGGGTCTTTGATTTCATGTTAAGCAATAGTGCCTGACACCCAGTGGGAACTCAGTAAATGTGTTGAATCTATGAAGGGATGGTAGTGTTATAAGTCACATCTTTCCTCCATAAATATGAACCCAAGTTTGATTGTAGACCTAATAAGAATTGAAAAACATTGAGCAATAAAACGCCCAAAAGCTATGTTTATTATAACTTTGCAGGCAAAGACTTAAGTGTTCTCTCATACAGAAAGAGCTAAAAAAAAAAAAAAAAA